CAGTTCGGCGAGAAAAATTCAAATTTTCTGAGAAATCTCAGATTTGAGAAAATCTCAGCGTTGGTGGTCCCTAAGCCAGGTAGTCAATTTTTTTTTTATAAAGCAAAGACCTTAATGGTATAAAATATGCCAGTCAAAATACGACCCAATGATAAGTTGTATTTACAAACAATGTAATTATAACGACCAAAGAATTTTCGAAAATCTGACTTGAACGAAGTTGTTGAAATCCCTGTAACATCAATTTACTTGTCAGTAGTCTTTCTCGGTTTAAAAATTGATCGTATTTAGAGCATGCGCTGGTGTATCGAAAAAGTTGGGAGACAAAAACCCCACATGCAGTTCAAAGCGGAATACATAAATTAGAAAAGTTGGCTGTGTAAATTTAAATTCCAACTGCACATAGAATTTAAACAATCCTTACAAAAGAAATGATTCTTTTTGTCACAAAAAAACAAAGCTAACATCTTTTAATCTTCGTGAACATAAAAACCGTGCTTTCGACGGTCATGTGCTTGTGTAACTTACGATGAATTTTTAAAGGTCTGATTGCTAAAAAATCTAACAGTAGGTTAATGTAAATCAAAAACATCAAGTTGTGTTATTTCATAGGAATTTCTAGTAAGCTTATTCCACTGGTACAGAATGCAAAATTACTCATGAAAACAGAAGTAAAGAAAGCATTATGACATATGTTAATCGATAAACCGTAGCTACATTTTTACTGTTTGTTTAATGTATATACCTTACCACTTATAATCGATAAACTATTGCTACAAAAATGATATCTATTAAACTGATATTCAATAACTAAAAATGTTATATCTGTTATCTGTTTATCGACATAAAGTAGCTACAAATATAATGTCTTTTTGATGTACGTACATGTACCTTAGCCACAGATAATCGATAAACCGTAGCTACAAATTGGTATCTGTTTAATCGATGAAATATATATATCAAATTTAAATACCGCTGCAACAGATATGATACACGTTTAATCAATATAAAGTTACTATAATGTCTGTTTCAAGTATTTTCCGTACCAACAGATCATTGATATACCGTAGCTATAAATTGACATCATGACAGGGGGCACACGCCGGTTGTGACCGGTCTGCAGGGGATGCTCGCTCCTCAATGGCACCTAGTCCCACCTCTGATGTTTTAGATGTCCGTGTTCGCTCTGCTTCTGATTTGTATTGTTTGAATGGATTTTTGAGCTTGAATACTGTTCGTTATTTCCATGTTTCATCTGAAACCTTGGATACTTGTCTCTGTGAATGTCTAGCTTCACATTTGTAAAGTAGGACAGATCGTAAAGAACCGCACCAGAAATCATAATGATGTGTAATTCTTTTCAACTTGGCAGTATGTGTAACAACTGAAAGTGAGTGTCAGTTTAATAGAATAAAGTTACGTTTGTTTGACTGTTTGGTAAACATAACGCATAGTGATGTGATGGCTGATAGTAAGGATGATGTGGTGCTGACATATGGACGAGCTGGCTTATAGTCGCAAGGGGAAATCTGCAATTGACAATTAGCGATAGCTAATGGAACTTACTGACAAATCTGTTCTGTGTGGGTCTGGATGTCAATCAGTGAAAAAAGGTGAAGATAACGAACAATGATCGATCTCAAAAAATCTACAAACAATACAAATCTGTGAACAGGGCATTAAACACTGACCGCGGAATATCCAGAGTCGGGATCAGGAGAAAAGGAGTAGTAAGCATTCCCTGTTGACCGGTCACGCCCGCCGTGAGCCCTATGTATTGATCTGGTAGACGAAACATTCAGTAGTCAAAGTTAGTATAAAAACAATGCCCTAACAATTGGAATGAAATACGTCAATCAAAATACGACCCAATGATTAGGTTATATTTGTTAACAAGGACATCAAGGTCATTATAAGGACCATAGAATTTACGAAATGCTGACTTTAAACGAAGTTGTTGAAATCCCTCTAAGATCAACTTATCTGTTTGTAGCCTGTATCAGTTTAAAAACTGATTGTACTCAGAGCATGCTCTTGAGAATCGAATAAGTTGCGAGAAGTAAACAACATATGCAGGTGATAGTAAAATATTACTACATAAATACGAAAAATTGTCTATGGCGGGTGTGACCGGTCAACAGTGGATGCTTACTCTTTCTAGGCACCTGATCCCAACTCTGGAATTTCCAGGGGGCCGAGTTTATGCCTTGTTCACAGTTTTGTGTTGTTTGTAATTTTTTCAGTTTTTTATGAGATCGATCACTGTTAGTTATCTTCACCCTTTTTCATTTGTTGGAAGACCTGGTTTCCGAAGACTACATAAATGTTGTCAATGGGGAACTCCAGCATCCTTTAACGAATTTGAATGAAAAAAATCAGTCACCTATCAATTTCCATGGAAAAGGTCAGTCAACATACGATTAAATGTGAGTTTGCTACATCTGTTTCATAATTGGTCGCTTTAAAACATGTTTAAATATATCAAAAATTAACCAATGCTCTTTGGTGGTTCTTTTCATTTCAGGTCTTTTTTGTCAATTATTGTTTATTATCGACAAACACAACTTATAAACAAGAATGGTAAGGATTTCTTTTTTTAGAATACCAAAATTAACATAGAAAATGTGTATTTTAATCATATTATGCATACTCAATATACCATTTTAACAGTTACCTGAATATTAGATATCATTTTATGCCCAACTGTGTATGACTCAATTTTACTGTTGATTTTATGCATAACGTGACGGTTTTCCGGATCACTTCACTGTGATTTTCTGAATCCATATCATCCTCTCAGATACTGATGATGCAGTACACTGTGAACATGATGTTTTTTTCTTTCTGTGTATCAAAAGGTTCCTTGAAAAAATGTTTTATTTAGTGGATAAAAGTTGTATAATTGATTCCAAAACTTTTCTTTTATTATATTTTGGTAATTATAGAGGGGCATTTAAAAACATCATCATCATAACAGTAACTTGATCCGAAGAGCCTTATCACGTCTCGTTGACAGGCGCGGATTATCCGCGCCTGTCAACGAAACGTGTTACGATTATTCGGATCAAGTTAATGTTATAATACAGTGGCGCCGCGTCAATCCGGACGCAATTAATCCGGACACTGCACCTTCTGGACGATATTTTTGGGAACCGATTTTTTCCCACGTTAATCTATCTCATTAATCCCGGAAATTCGCGTTCCGCATCCAAACGATCGATTTCTACTACGAAACGTAATAGTTCATTGAAAATGACTCTTTAATCCGGACAGTAGTTTTTCAAAGAAAGACTTTTCACACCTATCATTGTTGTAAAATCATTGGCCGTGAAGTCAGTTTAAAGGCGATTACCTGTGACCTTCAGATAATAGCTTTTATAATTAGCATGTGTTTACCCCAAATAAAAAACAAACGTCTATTTTGAAGCTCGAAGTATTAAACTTATGCTGTGCACAATTAAATATGAATCTGTTCAGAATTAATTGCTAACGGTATATAAATTTATGAGAACTTTGGAGAGTTATAAATAAAATGAATAATAAATCACGAGATTTCGTAGCGGTCTCGAGTTCCGTAAGTTTAACAAAATACGATTTTCCATTTCTCAAAACGTTAATTTACCTGTATTTGAAACGATCTTTTTTTTCTTTTCATAAGACAGTTTAAAGGATACATAATTCAAGAAAATATCTTTTTTTTTATTTAATGTACTACAGTCTATAATCCACATTACTGTAGAAAGGAAATTGTTACTGGCGTTAGGTACAGAAGCTGAATACGTTTTTCAAGGTACAGCATTTTTTAAATCAAATGATAAACTTAGAGTTTGTAGAAAAATTGTTGATAATGAAGAAAATGTTTTGTGTTTACGCTGAATGTTTACAATACTTGCATTAATTACGCGTGTTTGCGTTAGCTTGCAGTTTTCAGTTTCTACATGTAGCAGTCCTATGTAATAAATATACGCTGTTAGTTATTTGAACACTTTCAATGATAATGAATAGTTCCGTCTTATCATATGAGCTTGAATAATAATAAAATGAATTGAAGAAAATTCAATTCAATCTAACTACAGGATTCTAACAGCACTTTCCAAGTACTTTGGAACACAAGCTCTCGATATCGACAAAGTATGTTGAATTTTTGCATCTCTGTTGTTGAGGTCGACAGAGAAAAGGCTGACCGGGATTTCAAAACGCTGCCTGACTACATTACGAGGGGTGATCAAAAAGTTGGCGAACTAATTGAATTACTTTCATAAAAGAAATAAAATTAGGTTTCAATGTTTATTATTTTTTAAAATAGTCCCCTCCGGTTTTAATGCACATCTGCCGCCGTTCTTATGCGAAAATTACGTGGTCCAGGCGGTCACGTGACATGCTCCGTAGCGTACTGTTCACGGAAGCTTAAAGATTTTTCCGAGCTTTATATTTCTTAACACGCAGGGGTTTTTTTTTATAACAAGAATAGTCCATTTGTGACAAATGGCCAAATCTAGGCAATAGGATGGGTTGATAAGGATATCCTTTCCCACAATGAGCATGGTGACCATCACAACCCGTAGGGTGCGTCGTTTATCCAATGTGGATTTAGTATGGGCGCCTTCTCTTTATCATATCTGAAATGTTTAAAGTATAAAGTAAATGATATTTTAGGGATTTAATAATTGTATTTATGTGAAAACATAAAGTAATTTATAGCATCTCGATTACATCGTCAATTTTTTCCGGAATAAGAAAAATCTTTCCATTACGGTTCTGTACTTTACCGCCATATTGATCACGTGATATTTGTTTATTGAAGCTGTAGCCATTGTTTGAATGTGTAGAAACTTTTACATTTGTTTGATATTTTCCTTGCGTTTGTGTCCATATATTCTCATGCAAGACACATGTTTCATTGCTAGTGTTTGACGGTGCATCGTAAGTACATTCTCCTTAATTTTATATAATGTAAAAGAGTTTGTGGCGGTTTACATCCGATTACGTAACTCGCCATCATGGTTATGAAACTTGTAGTTTTAGGACATTCATTTGTCAGTAGATTGGAAGACTTTGTGAATAGTTCTCCTGATAACCGTGTGACAAAAAATTTGAACTTAAGTTTGGAGGAAATTCATGTTTCATATGCAGGATTTCGGGGAGCGACATTGTCAAAGGTTAGGGCGCAAGGTCTGCGTTACGTAAGGCTGTTTCATCCAGATGTGGTGGTATTGCAAGTCGTATCAAATGACCTCTGTGATCCTACTAAATCAGTATCAGATGTCTTCAAACAATTGATTGACTTTGTTATATCCCTTCGTTATGCAGAATCAGTGAAACATGTTGTAATTCTACAAACTTTACAAAGAAGACCCCCTAGTTACCGCATACGTTATGAAGTGGATACTCAGTGGTTCAATGAAAGAGTGGATGAACTTAAAATGAGAATATCATCCTATTTATGTAATGTGGAAGGATCAAAATTTTTCCGCTTATCAGGTTTCTGGTCCTCTGCAAGTCAGGACATGGTGTTTTCTCAAGATGGTGTACACCTGAATTTGCAAGGAATGAAGAAGTATTATAATAATTTGCGAGCAGTAGTAGTTTCTACACTCAAAACCATAACAAATGGTGGGTATGAATTTTGTTTGAAAATATAGGAGGATAGTTGACTACACATGGCAAAACATTTTTGTCACAGCCACTGGGCCTATGTTTTACACTTGGTTTCAAGATATGTCAAAGGCAGAGCTAAATCTTTGTTCAAGTGAATTGTAAACAAAATGATAAGCTTTACTCAACTGTTTATTACAAAGTTTAAAATGTTGTCTCTTTATGGTCGAGGCCCATAACTTTGGAATTGTTGTTCCCCTATATATGGTTGGGGTAAACAACAGTTTTTATTATTCATGGCTATTTAAAAAAAAAAAAAAAAGAATTTACCCCTATATGGTTGGGGTTTTGTTTTCTAATCAACATTTTATTGATTAGAATATGTTGCTTAATTTATATATTATGCAGTGCTTTTATATTATCATATCCCTATATTAGGTGTATTTTGTCTGCTGGGATATGAGTTCTGTGATTATACCCCTATATGGTTGGGGATAATTATTTATATATAAAGATATATAAGATTTATTAATTACATTATCTGCCTGTTGTTTGCTTTTTGGATATGAACACTTTATTATTTGACCCCTATATGGTTGGGGTTTTTCAAGGGTACCCTACTTGGTTGGAGTTTGTATTTTTTATCCCCCTCCCTCACCAGTTTTCATGTTTTTGTGCTTTTTACACTTGCCTTATTGAAACTTGTCCCTATACGGTTGGGATGTGTTTTTTAGCACTGAATAGAAGATATTACACATTGCATTTATGATCATGCTGTCTTTCTTATTATGATCATAGGTTATTATTATGCCTATATATGTATGGTGTGGGTTTAGTTAAATTTGCCCCTATATGGTTGGGGCACCATCTTTCGGTTCTCTATAGAAGTGCAGTAATATTCATTTTGGGGGTTATGCTTTGTTTCCTAATTTTGATTACAGGTTTATGATTGTGCCCCTATATGGTTGGGGATTTATTAAAATGTACTCTATAGACAAACACATGTCTTTTAGCTTTGGATAAAGTTAATGAATATGTGCGTTATGCAATAAAGGATATGCTGTGTTTCCCAGTTATGGTTACAGGTTTATTAATATGCCCCTATATGGTTGGGGTTTTCTGTGTATATTCATGCCCCTATATGTTTGGGGTTTCTTTGATGTAATTACATATGTTTATCATAAATTGGTGGTTCAAGTGGGCTTGTTACATCTAATTGGATGTGTAATTAGACCATAGGTGATTAAGATTGTGTAATCACAAGGAATGCTGATGTTTTAGTGGCAATATGTTTATATATATATTTTTGGGCTCCTATATGGTTGGGGCCTTTACCCTTATCGGGTGTAATTTGTGATGAAAATTATATACCCCTATATGGTTGGGGAACACATGGCGATTGATAAAGGTGACAGAAGTTCTATGCACCTATATGGTTGGTGGGCATCTTTAAGTTCTTATAAATATGGCATTCCTGTTCATAAATGTTAGTTATAAGTATCTTTTACTCAAGTTCATTGTGAGTCTCAATAATTTTACCATGTTGATTGACATGTATTAAAAATTCAGATTTGACTTATTATACTCAAGTCCACACTGGTATAATGGTATTTCTAAATGAATTTACATACATGCTTATATTATCAATTGAAAGCTGTTAATTAACCAAATATGTATGATAATTTCCACAAAAAAGCTATGTTTTTACATAGTCAATGAATTTGTTGTGGTACAATAATTGTGTTTGATATGAAGTCCATGTACCAGTATTACAGTATTAGTACTGAAGCCTTATTCATTGACCAGAGCTGTGGTTAAGAATAAAATATATTTCATTTATATCATTTTGATAAACAATTTTACAGATGAGCGAACCCAAAAGTGCCAAACGCCAACCAAGAGGGAGGCGAACTCAGGTCATTCCAGCAGCAGCAGGGTCTGCAGAGCAGGCTGCACAACAGACTGTGCAACAGACCGCACAGGACCAGCTGGTGGCAGCAGTAACGGACAAGGTCCTAGAAGCGATCAGAAATGAATCCAATCAGGAGTCCCAACAGATGGTAGAAACTGAGGATAGGGGAAGGAAAAAGCACAGAGAGCCAAAGAAAAAGAGAAAAAGAATATCTTCACCTCCTAGATCACCTTCCATTGCAGGTACTAACTCAGATTTGATTGACTCTTCAGGTGATGAAAATTCCTCAGATGAAAATACGAGTACTGATGACTCCTCATCAGCTGAGTCTGATAATGATGACAACTATTTGCTATCAACGCCAATATCAGCACAGGTTGAAACAAAAATTAAAAACAAAATCTGGCAAAATAAATATATTGACTTTAGTAAACTTTTGCCAAGGGAAGATATTGCCTCAGACAGGTCTGTTCAACTTAAAAGTACAGGCAATTCTGAATTAAAATTACTTTCAACCAAGTCAAAAACTCTCATCAAATCCATAGATAAATGGACATCAGCTTTTCTAAAATTTTTGGCAATTTATTCAGAAAAATTTCCAAAGCAAGTTGCATCAGTTATTAAACATGGAGAAATTGTCAGAGAGTTGGCTAATAGACATGCAGGTTTATCATGGCTGACGTATGATAAACAAGTTCGTAAAGACATTGAGGCAAGGTCTATCCCTTGGGGCCAGTTGCATTATGAATATTGGGTTATGGCCACCACATCTAGAAATTTTCATCATAATTTCCAAACCAATTTTCGTACCAAACACAATTTTCAAAGAAGAGGGGGGCCCCAGAAAGGTAGGAAAACACCACCTGGATTCTGCTATGCATTTCACAGAAATGGGAAATGCTACCAGAACAACTGTCAATATAAACACACATGTTACCAGTGTAAGAAAAACCACTCAGCCCTTCAATGCCCAAGAGGTAATCAGTCAGCCCCAAACAACAGCTCCCCAAGCTACCCATCAAGTTCATTCTCATCAGCCACCACTGCAAACAAATAGTTTTGTTGTTACTCCAGTACGCATAACTATTTTAAAACAGCTATTAGAAGGCTATCATCAAAATTTGAAAGAATTTTTATGTGAAGGTTTTGAAAAAGGATTTAGATTAGGTTATGAGGGTCCAAGACAACCACGTTTTTCTTCCAATTTGTTATCAGCCAAAACTCTTCCAAATATAACATTAGAAAAATTAAACAAAGAGATTTCACTTGGTAGAATAGCTGGTCCATTTGAGGAACCTCCCTTTATTAATATTCAGTGTTCACCAATAGGTCTGGTGCCCAAAAAAGAAGCTAACGAATTTCGAATGATTCAGCATTTGTCATTTCCTGATGGGCATTCAGTAAATGATTTTATACCAGAGGAATTATGTTCCGTTTCCTACACAACAATCGATGACGCAATCAGATTAATAAAGCAGATTGGTCCTGGGTGCCTTCTTGCAAAAACTGACATTGCTTCTGCTTTTCGTATAATACCTGTCCACCCACTTGACCATGAGTTACTAGGTATTCAGTTTCAAAATAAATTTTATTTTGATAAATGTCTTCCCATGGGTTGCTCAATATCTTGCTCCATTTTTGAAACCTTCAGTACAGCATTGCAGTGGATAGCTTGCAACAAGTTTGGAATCCCTAACATGTTGCATATATTGGATGATTTCTTATTTATAGGACCCCGGGACTCTACAATATGTGGTTTAGCATTACAACAATTTATATCTTTATGTGAGGTGTTGGGGGTACCAATTAAATCAGAAAAAACAGAGGGCCCTTCTACAGATATTGTTTTCCTAGGAGTACAACTAGATACAGTTAGGTGGGAAGCTAGATTACCCCAAGATAAAGTCCAAAAAATCCGTGAGGCAGTTAAGCTAGCAAAAAATCGCAAAAAGATGAAACTTCGTGAAATTCAGTCCTTGATTGGGCTGTTAAATTTTGCTTGCTGTGTTGTAGTACCTGGACGTGCATTTCTGCGTCGTCTTATTAATTTAACAGTAGGTATAAAAAAGCCTCATCATAGGATTCGTCTGAATAAGCAAGCAAGGTTGGATTTGTTAGCTTGGGAAACTTTCATAGACAACTTTAATGGCAAGTCAATCTTTCTGGACGACAAATGGCAAAATTCCCAAAAACTTCATTTGTATACTGATGCAGCGGGAAGCTTAGGTTATGGGGCTATCTTAGGTAAAAAATGGTTTTTTGGAAGCTGGGAGAACATAAACCTTCAAGATCACAATATTACATTCAAGGAACTTTTCCCAATCGTGGTTTCTATTGAAATCTGGGGAGAAACCTTGACTAACTGTTCTATATTGTTTCATTCAGATAATATGGCAGTAGTCAACATTATTAATAGACTTTCTTCGAAAGATCCATCAGTGATGTCATTAGTCAGACGATTGGTTCTAGCTTGCTTGAGATTTAATATTCTGTTCAAATCCGAGCATATTCCTGGGAAGAAAAATGTTTTACCAGACTTACTTTCGCGTTTGCAGGTAGAGAAATTCAAGGAATTAGCACCTTACATGGACAAGTTCCCAGCCAACATCCCTCAGGAGTACCTACACATTTAGTAAATTCGACATCAAAACTGCTTGATGCTGCAATGTCAAAAAATACCCAGGTGTCATATGAGGTAGCTTTAAATGCTTATCATAAATTCTTCCGGGCAAATTTCAGTACAAGTCCAACATTTCCATCTCAGTTAAATCACATTATGTCTTTTATAGCATGGTTATATCAACATAAAAAAATCTTACAACACAATAAATACCTTTGTTGCAGGTATTTCTTATTATCACAAAATACATGGTCTCTCTGACCCAACTCAGTTTTTTGTCATCAAGAAGCTTCTCAAAGGAGCTCAGCACTTATCCAATGCTCCAGATATCCGTTTACCAATAACACCTCATATTCTTTTCAAGCTAGTCCATGCGCTTAACACACAGTGGCTGGGAAGTTTAGCAGACGCCTTCTGACAGCCATGTTAACACTCTGTTTCTTTGCATTCCTGAGAGTAGGTGAAGTAACTGTGAAATCTTTAAAAAAATTCAAGTAGAAATCTTGTTCATCTAAAAATTTATCATTTGACCCAGTACGAGGAAGACCTAAATCTATGACATTAACACTCAGACATTTTAAACATCATGACTCAGGTAGACCTGTGTCCTTGCAAATAGCAGCTCAGACTTGTAAAAATATATGTCCAGTAATAGCTATGCAAAAGTACTTATCAGTCAGAAGTAAATGTCAGGGCCCTTTATTCAGTTTTGATGGTCAAAAACCAATTAATCAGGCTTACTTTACAAATGAACTAAAAAATGCATTATCATTTGTTGGTCTTGACACAACTAAGTACAAATCACATAGTTTTCGTATAGGAGCAGCGTCTTATGCTTTTCAGTGCAAAATTCCCGAGGATAAAATTCGTTTAATGAGTCGCTGGAACTCCAGTGCTATTAGGCGATATTTTAGGATACCAGTTTTTGATACGGTGGAAATTTCACCTCTTAATCTTGTTTGATTTACATTTTAGACAGTTTACATTCAGACTTTGCATAATTGGCTATTGCTTTATAATTGGACTGTCTGAGGCATCTGATTATGAAATAATGTTGTATTCTCCATGTTCTCTAGTCAGACTGTCTGAGGCAGCTGCTAGGTGAGCAATTTTTCAAGGTGGCCATTACCCAGTACTCATAGTTTTCTAACATTACATGTTTACAAATGACTGTCTGAGGCGGCATTTGTGATTACGTCAAGTTAGATAGTTTTTTAAATTTAACTATGACTTCTAGGTAACATTACATGTTTGCAAATGACTGTCTGAGGCGGCATTTGTGAATATAACAAGTTTTTATTGTTTTTGATTTTAAGTATTAAACCCTAGTCATGTTTGTTTAATGACATGTAACTATATGCACAAGATATTTCTTGTAGATTATTGTAGGTCATGGTTAAAGAAGCTATAATAGGAAACTCTTATTTTTTAATGTTTGGGTTTTCATTTTAGATATGAGTGTGATATGTATATATAGCTGACTTGGTGCTTCCTAATTTTACATAACTGTGGTATATATACTTCCAAAAATACATGTTGATTTGTTTTTCGAAACTTATGATGAAATTCAAACAGAGTTGTGGGTTTAATCACGTTAATTGTGCACATTTGTTATAGAATAGATGTAAACAAACATGAATAAGTAGTTCTTCTTCAATGATAGCATATTTCCTGTTTGGAAAGTACATATGTTACTCTGTGGGACTTGACTACCTTTCTTCCCATTCGTCTCCTCTGGATGGGCCACTTGTTGCCAATTAGACAACAAGTTCATGGCGTTTTTTATAAGGATTAGTCCCATCTTTTTTGCCATAACTAGTCCAATGGGCAATACTTATTGTACATTTGTTATTTCTATGTCAGTATTTGTACGGTGTATATCTTAGGCACATTTATCTTTGTGTACATGTAATGAGATATATTTTACATGAGATTTACTGTCCTATTTTGTGCCTTAGAATTTTTTACGAGTATCATATGTACTTCTAAGATTGGGAAACATTTTTGGCATTTTCAATAATAAATGCTCTTTTTCGACAGACTCGGTGTTATGTTATCTGTTTGGCAAAAAACAGAGCAGAGTAGACTCATGACTAAAAAGGTACCTCTATTATATTAGAAGAGGATGGTATAATTGTATTTATGTGAAAACATAAAGTAATTTATAGCATCTCGATTACATCGTCAATTTTTTCCGGAATAAGAAAAATCTTTCCATTACGGTTCTGTACTTTACCGCCATATTGATCACGTGATATTTGTTTATTGAAGCTGTAGCCATTGTTTAAATGTGTAGAAACTTTTACCCACCTCCATCCCCCTATCTTCCACCTGTTTTTGCATTTGTACGAGGGGTTTTCAAAAAGTTCGTGGACTGATGCGATAAAATTAATACTATGTAGTTGATGATTACAAAATTTGTAGGGAACATAAAACAACAAAAGTTTAAGAAGTGTTGAAAATTTCAGCTTGATATGTTGATAATTTGCCAAATTATCATTAAATAAAAAGAGCATTATACGATCACCCGGCGCTGTCGCTGTTTATTTTTATGACGTCCGACAACGTCATTATTTCTCCATGCCCGCTCCCTCTGCCTCAATACACTTGTCTTGATGAGATTCTCTTGAGTAAAGTAAAGACCTAAACCCGTCTTGTTTATATGACTTTACAATGTTATGAACACATGATTTCAAAGCATTAATATTGTAAATATTAAATCTATACTTAGGAAAAGATCCTCGCTTGATTTGCCTGCATAATTTTCTTGCCGGTGTTCAATGTCAACCAATGATCAACGTCACTTTTCGACGTGTCTGACTTTGGACACCCTGACTACAAATCGACATTAACCGTGTGTCTCTTTTCTTGCTGAATCTGTCTTGGTATTTAAACACAAATACTCTGGATGTATTTTATTTCTCTTTAGCCTGTTTAAACATTTTCTAGGTCTATGTCAGGTTTTCCAGGGGCTGAAAATTTATAGAATGTTGTAAAATGACACCCTACCCCCTTTCGACGTCATTTTTAACCCTATATTGTTTGGACATTCCCTATAAAATTTACGATAAAATTTCATAGAATATATTGAATCAGGTAAAAATTACAACTTTTACGGAAAAATTATGTCATATCACATGAGTGAATTAATGCGAATTTCGGATGACAAATGCTCATATTAGAAGAGTTTTTCTCAGTTACACTTAGGTAGAAAATACGTTATGTTCGAGGTTGCGCCGCCTTGACATACCATTGCTTACAAAAACATTAAAAATTTATTTAAAAAATAAAACTTATGATTTATGGTTTATTTTACGGATAGAAATGAAGATGCTTATTTAATGTTTAAAAATTCATTGATGTATCTTAAGCGGTTTTAATTTTATGACGCTAGTCCACGAACTTTTTGATAACCCCTCGTACTTGGTGTCTTAGGCTAAATATATTTTTGAAATACAATTGATCAAGTTTTATACATTTACTCTAGTCCCATTCATTTGTACAAGCATGTTATGTGTTTTTATAATGTTTGTTTGCGTTTTTTATAAGGATTAGTCCCATCTTTTTTGCCATAACTAGTCCAATGGGCAATACTTATTGTACATTTGTTATTTCTATGTCAGTATTTGTATATCTTAGACACATTTATCTTTGTGTACATGTAATGAGATATATTTTACATGAGATTTACTGTCCTATTTTGTGCCTTAGAATTTTTACGAGTATCATATGTACTTCTAAGATTGGGAAACATTTTTGGCATTTTCAATAATAAATGCTCTTTTTCGACAGACTCGGTGTTATGTTATCTGTTTGGCAAAAAACAGAGCAGAGTAGACTCATGACTAAAAAGGTACCTCTATTATATTAGAAGAGGATGGTATAATTATTTTATTGTTAAGATATTCAACAATTTTTCTAAATGTAACTTGGCGATCTGTCATCACAAATTGTTCAACTGAGGACACATCTCTTTCCCAGCTTACTTAATTTATGATTGAACTTCTAGCAAGTCCTTTAGTTTAATTAACATTGTACAAATTATTATATGCTACTGCAAATGAATTTCCAAGGTATATATTAAACCTTTACAGCCGTGCCTTGCTCGAGTACGACTGGGTCAACCATTTTTTGTCACAAGTCATCTACATATTGACATCATTTTCACATTGGGACGTCATAAACATGGAGCAAAACATTACTTTACATCTGCTATTATAGAACATGTTTATTACTATATCTGTGCCAAATTTCATTCTGATCTGAATTGTGGTTTTGTAAATACAGAGATAGATCGCGAACTTTTTGCTTACCCCTCGTATAAGGGAAAATTGTCAAAATAAATTAGCATACCTGATTCGTAAACATTAATTCCTTAAGAATCACATGTTACCTTCACTGTATATTCTTTTTCACTTCCATTCCATACATCTGTTTACATGATCTGTCGTCTTGTTTCATTTTCACTCGGCGAATATTTGATCAAAAGCTATGACGTCATGGGCATCGTTATTTATACCATCCAATAATTTCATGATTTTGTTTATATCTTGTTTTGCATGTTTCAGTTTATTTCTAGAACATGAAATAATTCTTTAAATATAAATATTTAAGAAATCGTTTTCTCTAAAGTTCAAGTCATATCGCTTACTATGATGTCATATTGTATAGGCAAGTTAGAATACTTGCGTGTAGCGTTAACATACACGCGTATTAGATATCTTATAAAACATATTCAATACACCATTTTAACATTTACCTTATTATTAAACAAATATGGAGATAACGAGCAGTAGTCAAGCTCACAAGTTCATTGAAACAATACAAATCGGCAGCAGAGCATTAAGGGATCTCTGAAAACATCAGAGATGGGATGAGGTGCCATGGAGGAGTAAGTATCCCCTGCCGACCGGTCACACTCGCTGTGTGCTCCTTGCCATGATCGGGCAAACGGAAAGATCCGGAGACTATTCGATGTATAAAAAATGGCCAAACAATGAGTATGAAAAACGTCAGTCAGCATTCAACTTAATGATAGATTGTATTTGCTGACAAGGTAATTGTATCGACCATAGAACTTGCAAAATAATGACTTTAAACGAGAATTTTGAAAATTGCTCGTACGTAGGGCATTCTCTTACATATCGAATCAACATAAAGCCCATATGCAGATGATAAGGGTATATTGAGATATAAGTAAGAAAGGTTGAAGTTGTCATAAAGTTTTGTTGTTAGGTTACCAATAACGTTTTTATCTAATAAAATATCCAAATATGAAAAAAATGTGTCAGACTCTGTGGTATTTTTTTTATTTCAAGTTCACTGGAATAAATCGAGTCGACATATGAATGGAAGTAACTATTGTTAATTG